AATTTGTAATCAATTTAACTTTTTTAAAAACATTAAATTATAAATATTACAAATACACATTGTACATTAACGAGAAAACATTCATTTTTGCACAATACAAAGTCCAGTTATCATCTTCAAGAGAAACTTTCAACATTCAAAAGAGCATCCACGAAAATTAGGGGCATTCCTGACTTTTTATTTCAAAACATAATTTCACTTAGGTCTTTTGGGCCTGTCAGAAAATTTCAAATTTTATTGGGTTTTCTCTATAATTTTCTTCCTTCTGGGGTCCTAAATGAGATCCTTCATTATTTTTTAAATTATTATTTATATTGATTGAACAGAAAATTAATGTTATGACGGATAACTAATTCAGAATCGCGTGAATGACATGGGTATGACCATCCAATACTAAAATAATAACTGCATTTAATTGAATAATGAGCAATTCGTGTCTTCATTCCTCATCATTGATAGAGTCTCGAGACTTTTTTATTATAATATCGAAGTACAGTTCAGGGACAGCTCATGAAGAGTAAATATTAAATTAAAATACTAAATGCCCGGTCTGATTTTTTTTATTTGACTCATACTTTTTTTAATACAAGTTAAAGAAAATTAGTTTGCAAGTCTTAATAATTATTTAAATTTTAAATTATGTTCTTATAAATTATTTTATTTTATTGATCATTTATAGTTTGATAGGTTAGATAAATTAGTCCCTGAAAGTTAATAACTCTAGACGATTAACAAGGGTTCAACTAAAACAAATAAAACAAAAAAAGATATCAGAATTCAAAAAAAAAATTATGGACATGCTGATTAATTTTTTTATAAGATATTTTTAACTACTTCACATAAAATAAGAAAAATAGTTAAAAGCAGTTTGCATAATTAAAATCAATCTTTGTTATATTTAATTTCTTTCTTATATCGTCTCTCTTTACAGTGTAACTAGATTTATTTCCCGCATGATGCATGGGTACGTTTTTACATTTTAAGAGAATTAAATTTATAATTTTATTGTAAGTTTCTCATGCCTATCATTTTTACTACAAGTATTATACTCCTTCTTATTCATATTATAAGGTACCTTTTAGATAAATTTTTTGATCCTTAATATGAGATACTTGATGGGATACTTAATTATAACAGATAATGTAATGCAAATTTAAAAAATATTTAAATAAAGGTAAAATTAAAAGTTTATTTTATTTTAACATTTTTAGAAAAATTTAATGACTTAATTATATCTCCTTGGTTATGTGAAGTAGTTAGAAATACCTTATAATAAGAATTAGAGAATATATGGGCTTGTTTTGTTTTTGTTTTCATTTTTTGTTTTTTTTTAAACTATTTTGTAACAGTTTTTAGAATTGTTTTTCAAAGCAAAACAAAATAAAAAATTGATTGATAATGTTAATTAAAAAAATTAGAATTAAAAAAATATGCTAATAGTGATGGTTATGGGAGATTAATGATGGTTGTTTATAATAAAAATTAGTCAAGCTAACTATGTCTTTCAATAATCAAATATATATAATAAGTTTTGAAAATAAGAAAAATAAAATGAAAATAAATTTAAAATATTTTTATGTTTTTTGTAAAACAAAAAATAGAACAATTTTAAAAATAATTAAATCCAAAACACTTATCCAAATGAGCTTTTAAATAGTTTTTGTTTTTAAAAACAAAAAATAGTTTTTGAAAACAGAAACAAACTGGTTCTATGGGCACCTTTGATTTCTGTTTTCATTTTTTATTTTAAAAACTGTTTTGCAATACACTTTTCAGAATTGTTTTTCAAAACAAAAAAAAAATATTTTTTCTTATGTTAATTTAATAACATTTTTAGAATTAAAAATAGGCTGATATAATGGTTGCAGGCAATTAATGATGATAGTTCATGATAAAAATTAGTCAAGCTAACTATACTTTTCAATAATCAAATATAAAACAAAAAAAATAAAATAAAAATAAATTTAAGATATTTTCATTTGTTGTTTTAAAAATAAAAAATGAGAACAATTTTATAAACAATTAAATCCAAAACATTTATCCAAATGATTTTTTTAAATTTTTTTAAAAATATAAAATAATTTTTGAAAACAGAAAGCGAATATGTCCATTGTAACATTTCAAAAATTAATTCTCCTAATTTATTAAGTTATTAAGGAATAATTAAGTGAATTTGAGTTTGAAGATGATTAGAGAAGGTTAATAGATCTTTTAAACTTTAGTTGCAGCCTTAGGATCAGTCCTGAAGTAAAATTTGGATTGCCCGACCCAATTAATGAACTTTTTTTTTTGCCAATTAGGAAAATTTGTACCTAGTTGTAATAAGATAATGTTTATTTTAATGTTAGTTGAGTCGAGTGATATAAACTCATTTTTTCTCGAACAAGATCAATAATTCAGATGTTGTGGATTTTTTTTTTTAATAAAAATCAATAGACATGATGGTGCTTGAATTTAGGATGACACTACTAGACATCAAGAAGTTAAATATCTAAAAATAGAAAATAATGTTTAGTAGAAAAATTAAATAACCTTTGATATTTTAGTATATTTTGTTTTATTTTTTCAAGGAAAAGTATATTGCATTTTTTTAATTTAACCTCCTTAGTTTTAATTGAACCAATATTACTTTTTAATAACATTTAATAATGAAAAAATTATTTTTGTGGGCAATAATAATGCAATTTGCTTTTGGAAGGATCATTCCCAACCAAGTCCCGTTATGCTTGAATATGGTTCAGTGAGATAATAATAATAATAATAATAATAATAATAATAATAATAATAATGCAATTTAGTCCATCTTAGTTCTATTTTGGTTTAATAATTGTGACAGTTAATTTACTGACATAAACTAATGACATTTGGCATAACGAACTGATTATTGACTAATAAAGTTGCGTTGCTTGGATTTAATTAATTTTATAAACAATAGATACCGGTACCATCCAAAAATCATTATTTAATGTATATTAAATAATACATAGTTGTTTTATTTTGACGCGTGGAGGGATGAACTTGGACACATAGGCAGCTACAAATGAATTGGGGGGTAGGAAAAAGTAAGCCCAAATTGTTTTTTCTTTTCTTTTCTTTGTACAAATCAAGTAAACACAAACATGACAACCTTTGTTTTTTTTTTTTGGTAGCATGTCTAAATGCAGATATTTTCTTTTCTTTTTTATACGATTACCTAACTTAGTGATATTCGAATATTATTAAGTTTAATTGAGAATAATTTTTTCAAAAATATTTTCTGTATTTATACAAATTCAAACACGATATCTCATGCTTAGATGATCGTAATTGCTTTTACTAAGATCAATTAATGTTCTAAAAAACAAACCAGCCATTTTAACTAGTTGAATTAAGAACCAATCTCAAGTCTCATTTATTCACTGCACAAATATGGCAGCTTTGAGAAACAGTCAAACTAGTAGAATCAACAAGTAAATCAGTTGAGCCAGACAACTTTTTTTTCTTAAATTTTAAGTCATATTTCTTAACAATAACTTATACATATTTATATTTAATAAGCATGGTAAAATAGAAAAAGATGAACAATTATGCAAGAAATATGCATGAAATAAGTATATATATTTTGGATGAAAATAATGGATATTATCTTTTTTATTATATATTATTTTGTTTGAAATTTAAACCTTTATTTTTGTTATTATATAATATTATTTTTTACTTTAAACATATAATATTTAAATTTAAAATATATTAATTTATTTATAATAAATTAGATCACAGGTTAAACCACGGTTCAATTATTGAACCATGAATTAGTTTCTCTACCAGTTAAATGTCCAGCCTAATTTTCTTAACATTGGAATCATCGCCTACTGTTTCCGTCAACCATTCTTTCTCGAAGCTCTCTCTGTCTCTCAAGTTCTCCCTTTGTTACTCCCTGGCTCACTTTTGTTCTTATTGTTATCATTATGAGAATAAATAATGTATATTTTATTCTGTAATCGATATTATAGCTAAATTTTATAAGAAATCACATTGTTTATCAGTGATAATGCGTGCTATTTTATATAGTGGATTTCACGTAATGTCTGGCTCTATCAGGTATGATATTTTAAGATACCAATAGAATCTTTCACACGCATAAAATTTATAAAAATAAAAACACAAAAAACAAGGGCTTCCTCAACCCCACCATTAATATTAATATACTCCTTTTAATTTTTATTATAATTCACTTTTAACTATCTTACTAAAATATGGGTAAAGCGATAAATTCATTAAATCTTTTAAAATTTAAAAATATTTCAATTTTTTTCATATTAAAGAGAAAAACACAACATTCGAAAAGTTATATAAAAAACTAGAATTAGAATTAAATTTTCATTTTAGCAATTTGTTTAGAGTAAAAATTGAAAAATATTAATTAATAACTCTTTATATGACTTATAGAAATGACAAAAAATATTTTTATTATTAAAAAAGAGTAATAAGAAAAAACAATTCAAAACAGTCTAACCATCTTCAATTAACTCTGGTTCAGTCAAAACAACCTGATTCAAAATAATCCAAAACATGCCAATTTCTAAAATTGATTAATGAGTTAAATCGAATCACTTTTATATCTTAAAACATTGCTTGGAAGCCATAAAAATTAAGTTGCATTTTTAAATTATGTACAATACATAAAGGCTAGGCGTAATTTTAAATATAGAAATAAAGTTTATACAACTATCATGTTTTTCCCTAAAAATATTGTTTTAAATTTGAAAATAAAAGGATTAATATTCTACGTAGTTTTTTAAATAAAATTAAAGAGGGGAAAAAAATCACGTCAATATGTAGTTGTTATTATGATTATGCTTGGGAATCAAACAAAGTAAGTGATGGCTAAAAGCTACACCTAACCCACCAACCTTAAAAATAAATATAATTCCTCTGTATATATCTTGCCATACATACCTGCTCTGCTCCTTCCCATTCAACCTTTCGGGGAGGGAGGGAGGGAGGGAGGGAGAGAGAGAGAGAGAGAGAGAGAGAGAGAGAGAGAGAGATACGTATAAAGCTTTTCTGGAATTTGGTCATAACTCTCCAAAGTTGACCTGGTCTTTGTTCTCTTTCTTTGATTGGCATATATATATTTCACCAAACCTGAAACTCAGTTCGTCTCGTGGTGGTTAAGGAAGAAGAAGTAGAAGAAGAATCAATTCCAGAAATTAAATATGGCTTTCATAAAGCTGCTGATGAGACTTGTGTTGGTCTTCTCGGTTGTGAGCTCTCTAGCCTTCTCGTCTTCTGCTCAAACTTGCACTTCTTATTCTTTCTCTTCCAACAAAAACTTCAGCACTTGCCGTGACCTTCCTCACCAGAACTCTTTCCTTCACTGGACCTATGATCAGGCCTCAGGTGATTTTTTTTTAATGTTTTTTTAATTTAATTTTGGTTCAATATATTGTAATTTTACTCTTTTAATTCATTATACATATATTAATAAAGGATTCAAGGTTAATTCATTTCTTTTGCTAAATAACTTCTCCGGCATTAGTTTTGGCTTTTGACTCCAAGAAATCACTCTCCCTCCATTTATTCACTTTTTTAAAAAAAAAATTGGATTTATATTTTAGTCTCTAATCAAGTAAGATTTTGTAATTTCGTGTTTTGATAGCTTACAAGTACAGAGAAGGATTACATTTACAAGGATATAAACATTAATTTTTTTATGTTATGATAAAATTACAGTTTAGGACTTGATTGAAAAATTAATGTCAAATATGAATTTTCCTGTTATGAAAAGTAGTAAACAGGTAGGAAAAGTTAAAAGTGTCTCAGTCTTTACATTTATTATCTGGCAGGCTCTTGAACAGCCTTTCTCCTTTATAATTGTATCATTATATTAGTAATTAAAAATTCAATTCTCCGGCGAACCAAACACACGCTAGCCTCAAAGCTATAGTACACTGTTTTTCACCCTTGGGCCGGCCCAACCAGTCCGGGTCAAATGAATTGGTCCAAACCGGGTTCATTCAAGATGTTTTTTGACCAGAGTTCCTCCATTCAAGATTGAAGTAAACTGACTTTCAGATGGAATTGAGAAATTCAAATTCTGAGTTCTTACCTTACAGGCAAGTTGGAGATTGGATTTAGGCATGGCGGAGTCAGTTCATTAGCAAACCGGTGGGTGGCATGGGGAATCAACCCAAGAAACAACGCCGTAACGGCCATGCCCGGAACTCAAGCTCTGGTAGCAATCTCAGAATCTGGCAGCACCCCGACGGTGTATACATCGCCGATAAGTTCCTCAGGCGATGTAACAGATACTCAGCTGATCCAGGGAGACCTAACCTACAACGTGACGGGCCTGAGTGCGGCGCGCGAGAACGACGTCGTCATCATCTTCGCTACAGTGATGCTTCCGGCGGGAACGGCGTCGCTGGTCCACGTGTGGCAGGAAGGTCCTCTCTCTGGTTCGACGCCTCAACGACATGATACCAGCTCCTCCGATCATACCGACTCGAAGGAGACGCTGGATCTTGTTTCTGGTGTGACTCAGGCTGCTCCGAGTGGTGATTCACTTAGAAGAAAAAGAAACGTGAGTGGCTTATCTTATCTCCTGAGTTTCAAATTTGATTTGAATTTGTCAATTTGGTATTTGTTTCAACTTTCAAGAATTGGTTGGAGAGGCTGGTTTAATTGTTTGAATTTAATTTAAATTACGAGACTATAATTTTTCTTATTTTAAAAATGGCAAATAAATGTCATCGAAGTTTTAGGAAACTAATTTGACATATTTATTAAAAATATTTTACCTGATATAAATAATCTCATTTAAAAAAAAAATTCACATACTAAACACTGTATTTACTTTAATAATTTGAGTGAGCTCTCATTAATTAAGCTCTCGTTACTTAATTTGAGTATGCCAGATTAGGTGGAGTTATTTTACGAAAACTATCGTATTATATTTACTCTATGTTGTTATCATTATTATTTTTTAATACGACACCATGTTAATTTTTTGCTTGGCCACAATTTTTTGCCTAGCCGAATTTGTGGCTAAATGTCTTCCTAAGGATGTCATATTGTACATGATTTATGAACTCTGTAACTTCTTGTACGTTATATATCCAAGTTAGAAAAGAATACTTGACTTTTTATATTTAATGTATTTTTATTCAATTAATTTAAAATAAGTAAATTTTAATATATTAATAATATTAATAACAAAAATTTATTATAAAATAAAGGATTAAATAAAAAATTTATCTCTAAACTATATATCTAATAGTATTTAGAATTTTAAATTTATTTTTAGTGCAATGTTTCTTTTTAACTTTTAAAAAAAGTTGCAATACTACTTATTATTAATAAATATTAATTTTAATTATTAATTGATTAAAAAAATTACAGAGAAAATAGAAAAGGATTTTAAAAATTACAAAAAAATCAAGAAAATTTTCTTGATTATTTTTTGTAATTGTTTGTCATTGCATGTGATTTTTTTATCTTTTTATGTTATTTTGAGCTTCTTTATGTAATTTTTTAATTAATTAATAATAAAAGTTAATTTTTATTAACAATAAAAGTAACATTGCACTGTTTACAAAAGTTAAAAGGGAATGTAACATTAAAAATGAGTTTAGGATTTTAAATATTCTTGAATTTAATTCCAAAAATAAATTTAAGATTTTAGTTGCTTCTGTATCTACAATTTAGGTTGAAATTGTCCTTTAACACTAAAATAAATAATCTATAATTAATTTAAATATCTTGATTTAATTAAAAACAAATACCTTAAATGTATATATTTTTTTATGGTGAAATGATCAGGTACTTCTTCTTCTTTTTTTTTTTGGGTGCGGTGAAATGATCAGGTACATGGAGTGCTGAATGCAGTAAGCTGGGGGACAATGTTACCAATAGGGGCCATAATAGCAAGATACTTGAAAGTGTTCAAATCAGCAGGCCCTGCTTGGTTCTACCTTCACGTCATTTGCCAGACCTCAGCCTATATTGTTGGTGTTGGTGGCTGGGCTTATGGCCTTAAGCTCGGCAATGACTCTGAAGCTGTTGAGTATGACACTCACAGAGCTCTTGGATTCACTATCTTTATCCTAGGAACTCTTCAGGTATATTTAGCATAATTTCAAAAAATAAAAATAAAAAACCTGTTTAAGTAAATGTTTTCAATTTAAATATTTTCAAAATTTTCTCATTTTTTCAAATAGTCAATTATGGTTAATTACTTTGTTAAGCCATTACACTATTAATCATTGGTGACCATCATTATTAATTGATTTTTTTACTATAATTTTTTTTTTCAAATTAATATAATCAAATATATTTTCCTCTTATTTTATTTTGAAAACTATGATGAAAACCGTATTACAAAATAACATATAAAAATAAAAAATAGTAAAACAATCAAACAGAACCCTTAATCATTTAATTTCATTTTGACTTAGTTAAAATTTAGCTTTAGAATTTTAACTTAGAGCAACCTAGTCCCTTGTTTTGGTTCGATTAAAAAGTTTAAACTCCATCCATCAATTTTCACTTAATACAACTCAATTTTTATAATTTTAACTATTTCAAATATCAGTTACTAATATTCAAAAAGTAACTTTAGTCCTTATAATTTTATGTTATGAAATATATGACTAACATTTTAAATTATTAAAACCATTGGAGCTAAGTTATATAGATTTATCGGTCACCTTGATCATTGTTGTACTCGTCTTTAATCTTTTATCCCTATTAAATGTTGAAAATGTTATTAAATGTGAGAGTATTTTATTTTTAGCCAAGATTTATGTACTTAATTTTATGTATTTAATATATTTTTATCTAATCAAATTAAGTCAAATGAATTATAATGTGTTAATGATATTGATAACAAGAATTTGTTGTGAAATAAATAATCTCTAGAAGATGTATATATCTTAATTTAATTGACAATAAGCATTTTAAGTATATAATATTTTCTTTTTATTTTTAAAGTATGCACATTTAATAAGAATAAAATTAAAAATCTATTGAATTTTTAGACAGAGTTAATTGGGTTTAATTTTTTTTTTGATGAAAATGTTAAAAATGTATTATAAATAGGATTAGAGGGAGTGATTAATTATCTTTCTTATTTAATATGTTGTTACAATCAAAAAAACCTTATTACTTACACTCTTAATTAAGGGTAACTTTAAAAAACTCAAAATAATTTATATTTTTTAACATGATACTTTGGAAAAAAAAAACAGGTATTTGCTCTATTTTTGAGGCCAAACAAGGATCACAAGTACAGAATGTACTGGAACATGTACCACTACTTGGTAGGATACGCCACAATAATCATCAGCGTGGTCAACATATTCCAAGGCTTCGACGCTCTTGAGGACTCTGCTGGAGATCGTTACCAAAACTGGAAAAATGCTTACATTGGGGTTATAGCTGCTCTTGGTGGCATTGCTCTGTTCTTGGAGGTCTACACTTGGATCATTGTGTTGAAGAGGAAAAATTTACCAGAGGCCATTCCAAATAATGGGGTTAATCATCATAATCATCGTCATGGAGCTAATAACGATGGCGTTAGTGATGGGTATGAATCTAAGCCACAGGTTTAGTAGGGCAAGTTATCTGGATCGTCTCCGATACACAGTGGTAGGTTTCATTCCACATGTGACATCTACTATTATGGTTATCGCTTTCTAATTATATTGATTGTATCATTATTAGAAGGATTATAGAAATATATGGGTTTTTCGAATTTTGGTTATTTTGCATTGTGGCTGTTCCCGCCCCCCTCCCTTTTGTTGGGATCATTTTGTACATTGACTTTTACATGAGCTTTTCTTTCGTTTTGTATTGAGTTTATTCTTTTATATAGTAGTTTTAGAATAATTTTCTGACTGTTTTTGGCTTTTATTTGTGTCCTATTGGAGATAATACATTGCATTTGTTTGGTTTCATATTTATTAAATATCTATATATAATACTATTTAAAGTTGTAGACATATCAAGTGAAATGCACTAGTCGTGTATGTACCAAATTAAATTAAATAAACATCCTAATGCGTATAAGAAGCAACTTAGGATGAATCCCCTAGCGAGTTGAATTTAAAATTGACAAAGAATGATTATCAAATGTGTTATAAACAACAAGAGAAATTGGTTTGATTAATTGTCTAAAAATGCAATTAAAACTCTACTTAATGTTTATACAATTTTTAGTTTTAAAAGAAAATGAAAGCGATTCTTAAAAGTATGATGGTGAAAAAATTCTCATTCAACAATTAAATTCCTAAGGAAATGTTTTCATTGACCAAATGAAGCTCAACACTATTCCAAACATAGCTAATAAAGCCATACACACAAAGCTAACTATCAACACTCGTGTATTGAACTAAATTAACATCATTAAGCTATCAATGTGTTATTGGTTGATTAATTAACTTATAATAGCATCTAAAACAATGCCTAACTAAGAATTAATTTTAAATCAATCTCAATTAGAACTTGTCAAGGCCTCACAATGTAATTATACAATTGCTAATGTCAAGAACATTTGACAATTCATCACAACTATGTATTAAACTATTAAATTCAAAAATTAAGTAACAATTTTAGCAATCAATTAACTCAACAACAAATATCCTCAATTAAAATGCAAAGGCATTTAATTAAATATTTTAAGTGTAACATTACAACTTCGTTAATTCAATTATGAAAAGGGAAGTTGCAAGTAGAAAAATTTAGAGAAACTAAAGTTTAAAAATCCTTAACTATTGAAGTCCATCAATTTAATCTTCAATCCATCAATCAAATCACGAACCTCTAGCCACGCCTTATCACAGCCTCAAATCCAGCTCCAAATATGCAGAAAATGTAAGCCATTGGCGGAAGAAGACGAGAAACTCGGTTGAAGAGAATGGAGGAGAATGGCTGAACCTAGAGGAAGGTTCTTGTGCGGACTGTTGGAGGAAGATTTCGAATGGTTTAGACTTCAGAACCTGGATTGGAGAGAGGAATGATGCGCGCGACAGAGAGTGACAGAGATGATGACAGACGAAAGAGAAACGAAGCAGAGACACTGAATGAAGAAAAGACCAGAGAGCGATCGTGGATGAATAGCCGAGATATGTGTCCAGCAAAATGAAAATAAAATGAATGTGAATGTCTTCCCCCAGTGGTGAGCACGTGATGTCCATTGAACCATCCAGTGGAAGAAGAAATGAATAAAGGGTGCAAATCAAATGGCCAATTGGTGCACGTGTGTTTAATATTTTTGGAGTGAAATTTTATTTTTTTTTTTTTCAGATTTGAAATGTTAAACAAATGGTGATAATTCTAAAACCAATAAAATGAAAAAAAAATAATGTCAAGTGAAAAGGCAAGGGAGTGGAAAGTGTAAGAATGAGAATTGGGTAGGAAATTGACTAATAATTTTTAGAGGATAAAAAAGTGAGAGTTCAATGGAATCAAGAAAGGTTTAGGAAAAATATTAAAAAAAAATGGAGAAGGAAATAAAATAAAAAGAAAGAAAAAATAAGAAAAGATTTTTTTCATTTTATCCTCTTGCTTCTTCTCTTTGTGATGTATCCACCTACACATATAATAATAAAATCAATAAAAAATAAATTTTAGAGAATTAAAAATAATATTCAATAAAATCTGAAAAAATATGCAATAAATCCCAAAAATTTCCTAAAAATATTTATTTTGCCTTTTAATTAGAAATATTACCCATTTATTATAAATTATATTAAACAAGTGCTAAAAAGCCAAGGTAAGAGAGGCAAAAGTGTGTAAAATATACTCCCTTCGTTAAAAAATATAAAATATTTTTAACCTAATTTCACTATCAATAAAGTAGTTACCTACTTTTAAACTAATCTTATATTTGCATATTTACTCTTATTAAATATCTTACAATAAATATAAACTCATTCATCAATAGGGACACTTTTTAATAATGATTATATCTTAAAAGATTAAAAATATCTTACGTTTTTTAACATCTAACTTCTCAAAAAATATCTTATATTTTTTAATAAAAATAGCATGAATTATCATCAAATTGTGATGAATATTGGTTGAACATGGTATAGAACAAAAAATAAGCCATTGAAATATTTTGCACCAATAAATTTGCGCATGAAATTATTTAGAATATAGCTTAAAACCAAAGGCAAACCATAGGAGCTTATGTTATTTTGGATCTTTAAAAAATTTAAGGACTACAATGAAAATATATAAGGATCAAAGACCAAGGAATATTGATGATTCTAGGCTCAAGTGAGATTAAGCAAAATTAAAGGAAAGAGAGAAAATAAATACATCATTGCAAAAGGATTAGTTGATATTGCATAACTAGATTACATTTTTTGTATTAACAACGTTATTTTTGTTATTAACAACTTTAGTTTAACTTTTAATAACTATGCTTTCTATCATTTTATTGAGGGTTAGAAATGAAATTTCAAACAAAATTCAAGTTAGTGTAAATCTTTAGAAACTCCATACTAATTATCCCATTGCATGATACTCCTTGTGTACCAAATTATAAAACAAAGTAGAAAATGATTGCACATACTAATAAAAAATAATAATGACATTTTCTAACATTATTTTTTCAAAACAAAATTTTAAACTTTCAAAAATATACCTACACACTTGGTTACACTACAATATCATTTCAATTATCTTTAAGGTAATATTGAAAAGGTATAATTAACTAAATGTTACTCCCTCCGTTAAAAAATATAAGGCATTTTTTGAGGAGTTGGATGATAAAAAATATAAGGTATTTTTAGTCTTTTGAGATGTACTTATTATTTTTATTTTAAAAAATATCTCTATTAATGAATGACTTTATATTTATTGTGGGGTCTTTAATAAGGATAAGTATGAAAAAATAGAGTTAGTTTGAAAGTAAATAACTACTCCCTCCGATCCTATTTATAAGTCATATTTACCAACCTCACCAATACTAATGCAACAACAGTATAAAGAATAATTATAAATAAAATTCTAAAACTACCCTTCAAATAAAAAATTAAAAAATAATCCAAACTATATAATATTATTTTCTAAATAACTCTCTCTGATAGTACTTTACAAAAAAGTCTATCAGTAAAATAAAGGCTGTCAGCTTTACTTGGCGGGAAGGCCCAAATGAAATGGGGGGAAATATTTGGCCAGTTACATTCTTCTAAAAATGATAGAAAAAGCAGATTGAGCAAGAGAACAAAAACGCACGGGACCACAATATTTTTCAGCTTTCCACCACTGCCTTCCACCATGAAAAATTAATGCACGCCTTTTAATTTAAATGCTCCAGCTGAGGAAGATGGTGGGGATAGTAGCAATAGTTTCTTGGACTTAAATGCTCCTCCCATGTGTGAGAATGTCTACTTATACAACAATCAAAGTGAAAATCAATATGCAATCAATGAAGAAAGAAATGGTAAGAATATCTATGTTTATAAAATTTAGAGTATCCCTATGTAAAATTTAACTTTCTAGTATCTATATTCAGTTGCTGAGAAGATTAAAGCTATCCAAATATAATCTATTAGAGTAATAATCACCTTTCATACATTTTAAACATTTTAAGGCCCTTTAATACCTCAACCAGCCTATCATAGATGTCTACATCAAAAATATTAAAAGCTTTTTAAACATTCCAAGGCCCCTTAATACCTCAGCTAACATGCTTATTAATAGCTTTTCACATGCATAGATAGAATCTCTCAAGTAAAATGGTGACATGACAAATCAAAAATGATAATTTCAACCTTATTGGTTAGACTTTTCATGATTATTTTGTAGGAGGGTCCTATGGATTAGAAATGATAATAATCAAGCTATCACCATGAAAATTGACACTTGGAAAAGAGGCTTTTCGGTCCTAAATCTAGCTTGGGAGGTGCATGCATATATACAAGAATAGTAGGTAGAAACATGCCAAGCTAAGCTAAGCTTGATGGAAATTGAAAAGCTTTTGTATGTGGTTCTAAGAGTAGTGTCTTGTTAGGTATAGTAATAATACTCTCTTGCTAGTTAGCATATAATTTGAATAGAAGGACATAAATAAAAAACCAAAAAGTTTACAAGAATATGAAAGTACTTCCATTAAATCCCAGGTTATAAGTAATTCAGAACAGAAAACCTTTTTTCATAACAAAGAGAAATATCTAGGCTTCAACTTTTGATAATAGAAGTTGCAGTTGTTATACCTTAAACTAACAGCAAAGTAGCAGAGTTGTTGGCTTGATTTTCTTGTGCCGCTTCTTTGAGACTCTTAACATCAAGCTCTAGTTAGATTTTCTTCTTTAACATCTTCATCACCTACAATATTACAAATTGTTTGATCAGTTGAATACATGCGAATCTCATATAATGGAATGAAACTCTCTTACCATGTTCCTTGAAAATAAAGGTTATTTTCCTTGAACAAGTGTGAGAGCCAGAAGATTAACTTACTCGCTGTATATTAAGTCATGTACACAGAATTTCATATTTTATATAGAAAGTAGGGTACACATAAACTTGTATAGACTTTTAATATCTAGTGTCAATACACTCTTGAAACAGAGACAGATATGGGAGGCAATACAATTGAATTATCAAGGCAACCACCATGTAAAAGAAGGTTCTTATCAAATGAAGAACGTGTAGCCATTTGTAAGATTTTGTTACACTCAAGTTGTGGAGGTAAATTAAGCAACATTACAGCAAGAGAAATAGCTTCAGCATACTCAGTTTCAATGAGAGTGATTCAACACATTTGGAATCAAGTTAAGAAAACAGGTGATACAACTCATAGAAAGACAAATAGGTGTGGAAGAAAGGGACCTAATGTGAACATGGAACAAGTCAAGGCAATTCCTGTACAACAAAGAACTACTTATAGGTCTCTTGCAAGTGTGTTATGGGTTAACAAAACATCACTGATCATACTAAAGAA